GCTTTGGCGCTCCCCGGGACTCACCGCCACTCTCCCCGCACAGGCAGCTGTTCATGCTTCTGCCGCTGCAGCCCCGGCCCGCAGCCCACGACCCAGCCCGGAACGCCCCGGCCCGACCTCAGGGATCCGCGCCTGAGCGGCCCCGGGCGTGCCCTTGGGGGCCTGGGCGGGGAAGGGAGGAGAGGGGCGGGGGGATTCCCGGTTTCTTGGCGGACCCTGGAAATTGTCCTTAAATAAATACATCCCTGCCCGAGGTTGAGCAGCCGCCTTGTCAGAGCAGCATGCGGACCGGCTCGCCGGGTCCCCTGCGCGCTCTGTGGCTGCCGCCGCCGTCGCCGTCAGAGCAGCAGCTGCCCGCAGCAGGAACCCCGCGCGGGGCGGGGAGCGGGGACGCGCGGCCGCCGCGCCCCCTGCCCACTGCTGGCCGCTTCCTCTCGGGAGGCGGCAGTCACCGTTGCTGCTGAGAAGCCAGCCCGCATTCCCAAGGCTGGTCGCCTGGCGAGGAATTTGGACTCTGAGCCTCCTGCCCGGACCCGGACCCACATGGCTTGTTACCTGGTCATCAGTTCGAGACATCTCAGCAATGGGCACTACCGGGGCATTAAAGGAGTCTTCAGAGGACCCCTCTGCAAGAACGGATCTCCCTCTCCGGTAATGTGCGCGCGCGCACAGACACACACAGACACACAAATGTTCATATCAACATAAATAGAGATACTGAGAGATATTATCCTGATCCAATGCGTATGTAGTGGGAATCTAAAACATAGAGCTTATCCATACGTGTACTATATCTGTTTGTTACAATTTGTTGACAGACTGTTACACAGAGAGGGGTGTGTATTTACATGTGTATTTTCAGTACAGTCAGTAGGCTCTATAGTGCTATGGATGTAAATATTTACGGAATGCAGTTAACTGCAGGGCTGTGAAGGTAGCTCCTCTGTGCTATGTCAACTTATGAATCTGCTGATTTGGACAGTGAGGAAAGTTTGAGTGGCACTTTAATGTGCTTTTGTGAAGTCATCAGTTGAGATTAATTTGGAAGAAATTAGTTTGATAATGCTGCTGTAACTTTATAAGAAAAATTCTTTAAAGATTATTGCCTCAGATCATTGGCAAAAGGAAAGGTGTTGGAGGTCAAAACCTGATTATATCCAGCGCTTAACTGTACATTCTTTAAGGGAAGAAAAGAGTTCTTTGTGGAAATCTGAGTTGAATGATTTGTTGTGTTACATACAAATCTATTAGCGTGAAATTCGAGGGACTGCTATTTAACTTACTAAAATGTCCAATTCAGTTACTATTCCGTTTACTCAAATTCTTTCTATAAAATATTTTTGTCCGGATTAAATGACTTAAATATATCACTTATTCATTTTTTGGTGTTACTATAGACTGATGTTTTAAAGATCCAAATGTGTTTCAGAAAATGTATGTGTTTATGTGTGTGCATAAGTTTTGAACTATTAGTAAGTGACTAGGTAGACCAACTTAAAGAACAACTTTTCTAGCTTAAAATTAAAAAAAAAAAAAACCCAGTATTTTAAGCCTGTATGATATAAAGAGGAAAAGCTTAAATTGTCTGATTTTTTTTATGTTTGTTACTTTCTGTTGTGGTTTAATGCTTCCTTAGCATGAATTATTCAAAACTGCAACATATTATTAAAACCTTTGATTAAGTGCTATATGTGATTTGCATGAAAAATAAAAAATCAGAAAGTACTAGTATCCAGAGATATCACTAGCATTCCTAATGACAAACTATTCCCTCACATGCTTTTATGTACTATAAAAAGTGAGTTATTGCAACTGCCCTCCTCCCCCCAACTACCGTACATGATACTGAATCGGAAGTGTTACATTAGTACTTACAATTAAACTCACAGAATTAGAAGGAACTTGGTGAGTTCAGGTTGAATAAAGCCCACATTTAAATCTTTCTGAGTAGCAGGTCTGAATCTTTCCTATTTTTAAAGATTCCCAGTATTGGAGTTTTCACAGTCTCAGCAAACTAATGTTCAACAACCCACGGTGTCAGGAGAATCTTCCTTACAACAAACTTAAATCCTTCAAATCCTCTTTCAGCCCATTCCATCTTGAAAACCTAAGATGTTCCACCTTACGCATAGCTATTATTTTCCAGTACTTTGGTAATGTCTGTGGTAGTCTCCCTAATTCTCCCTTTGGTTACGGAAATCTAAACTGGATAGTGTACTATAGCTTATGTACTTTGATTTCTCAGTAGAAAGGAGAATTACTTCATCATACCTGCATTGTTTAGTTTTATTTGAGTCAGTTAGACTACAGGGTTAATCTTCCAAAATCTCTAGGATTTGCAGAGAAAATTTCTGTCACATGATCAAAAAGTACCCTTTCTCCTTTGCTATCATCGTGGGTGTTTGAATGTGGATGAGAAATGACAACCCATTGTCCACAAGACTGTGTTGGCTGAGCAGGGCTCTCACCAGGTTGCTCCGCACCCACAAGACACTATTCTTTATTCACTACTGGGCAGGTTTTCACTAATGCATTCATTCATTTACTTTGTTATCTATGCTTAACATTTTGACTCATTGGATGATTCTCTCCAATGTTCACTTGTTCCAGTGTATTTAAATTACAAAGGCATCATTTAAAAATATCTAAATTAGCCTGTATGTGTACTTCCTCAACATGATTTGACTTATTTTGTCTTCTTTCTCTATGGAATTTGAATGACTCCTTCAAGATTTGAATAGTTTCTCACATGAGTTGAGCAGTGTGGGAAAAACTGGTGCTCATTGTCTCATTGGCAGGATGTTGAAATGAGTCTCCCAATAGGATGAGATCCTCTTCCCAGTGCACAACACTTAGTCTTTCTCCCTAAGTTAAATGGTCACCACATTTGCACATTTGAGTAGTTTCGTGATCTAGATGACTGTGTGTGTTGCCTTCTCTATCAATAAGTTGTGAAGCATGAAACTAAAAACTATAATTATATATCTTTTTAAAGACAGCAATACATATTCTCAGTTATTTTCAGTTTGATATAAATTTACTGATTTTTTTCCCTCAGTATAAATATTAAACTCAGAGATCCATAAAATACATTCATCTATCTTTTCCTTATTACACATAATTACTCTGATAGATTGGGATACTCTTACTTGATTTAACTGATTTTTACGATGTTTCCAATACTTCACATTTTGGTCATTATTTTACTTCACATTTTTACTTTTTACTTTATTTTTTAAGCAGGAAGTGTTCATCCTTTTTGTTTTATTCCACATTTTGTTTTAGTGGAGCTGTTTAAGAATAGTACACAGTTTTAATATTCAGGAAAACACAATTATTGAATGAGACTGTTTTTCGGTTCTTTTATAAAAAGGAGAAAAGCCACAATTCCTTTTTGACAATAATAGTTACTTCTTTTGTAGTTACAATTTAAATGCACCTGGACAATATAGATATAACATTTTATTATCTTGTAAATATAATTCTTCAATTATACAGTTAAAGTAGTTGTATAAATATTTTTGGGTTCAAATCATGTCTGTAAAGTCTGAACATGAGATTTTAAATTCAAAGTTAAAAAGATAATTATAATTATTTTTTTGTTTCAAATGATTTCAATTAGAAAATATATTGAATTATTATAGGGAATTCTTATAACAAATATCAAATGGCATGCTTAAGAGTAAAGCATTTTTACTCCCAAATGATTTTCACAGATCAGTAAACTGAAGATCCCAGAGTGAAATTTTACTTCTATCTTCAAAGTGAAAACATAGAAATGTCTTATCTATTGTAGCTCTCTTCTTTTTAGAGACTGTGCATAAAAGATAGGATACTGCTTTTTCATCCTAAATAGATTGTGAATAATTGATTTGAGATAGTTTATATTACTTTAAATCCAGGAATAGATTAAAGAAAAAACAAAGAGAGTGTTGCATAGTGCTCAATGGTAAGAATCTCTATTTTTATAAACTAAATGTGTGTTCTGCCACATTTTAGGATATTAATCCCCTAACCTATCTCAACTATAAAATAATATAACTACATAATGACTTTAAAAATCTGTATGGGATACATATGTATACATAATAGATAGATTGATACAGTTATCTGTACTAAAGCTCAAGAAGGACCTATAAATTATAGTCTTTCACCAACAAACATGTTAATAGCAAAACTTTCTTACTGTAACTGAAATACTCACTAACAATCTATAGAGGAATTCATTTTTGCGAATTTCTAAGATCTTCTATTAGCATGTTTGAATTCAGTAAAACAATATCTTCTATGTAACATCAAAGATATTTTTGAATTGATCTTATTTATTTTATGTAATCTAAAATATTTAAATTTCAATTCATTTTGAGTGTGGTTTATTATATCTTACTTAATCTGTGTGTGGTTAATGGTAAGGCTATCATTCAGGATACCTACTGATAAAATGTTAATAATAGCCATAGGTGTATATTTTACCTGTGGCACATGTTTAGCTTATTACTAATCTTTTGAAGCTTAAGTAAGGTGACATGTCTTAAGAAATGCTTATTCCTAGGAGCACCATAGTTAGACATCCAGAAATATGTATTTTTGGGAATGCCTATTGTCTTCTTCAAAAGCATTGGATGTGAAGAAAATTTTAGGAATTGTCGTCTAAGAGGTAGACTAGACTCAATTTTTTTTTTTTTTTTTTGGGTTGGAGTCTCACTCGGTCGCCCAGACTGGAATGCAGTGGTCGCTCCCGGCCGCCGCAGCCTCGCCTGCTGGGCTTCGGTGATCCTTCCGCTTCAGCCTTCCGAGTAGCCGGAATTACAGGCGCGTGCTACCACGCCCGGCTGATTTTTTGATTTATTGTAGAGATGAGGTCTTACTGCCCAGGCGGGTCTCAAACCCTTGGGCTCAGGCAATCCACTCACCTCAGCCTCCCAAAAGCGCGGGATTACAGGCTGAGCCACCGAGCCCGGCTAGACTCAATTTTTTATGTTTAGTGATCTTATCCTAAGTTGTATATCTGATTAAATTACCAAATAGAAGGAGGTGTCATATATATCAACAAGCATTTTAAATGTACCAAAAATCTTATAAAATTCCCTTTTAAAAAATTAGAAATACATATCTATAAATGAAGAAAGTTCTAGAAAAGAGAAATCACCTTAAAGGTGCATTTATCCAGAGAACTTCTTAAATGAGGGAATGAGTTGTTACACCCTTATCCTTTTTTTGAAAAAAAAAAACTAATGACTATTGTATCCAATTGTGTGTATTTTTTCATTATATTTAATAAGTCCATGTTAAACACATTCAAAACTGCTCTCAGCCTGATGTACTTTTCATGTGCCAAATATTGTTATGAAGACATGCCCTCCTGTAAAGAAGTCACCTGCCTCTTCTTCTTGAATTCATGAATATATAATACTGCCTTTCATGTTGAAACTTTCAGATGTTTTCAATAAAGAAGACTCAGTTACAATTCCTATAATACACTTTTTATATCAAATATAATATAAGCAACCTCCTTGCTTCTCATTGCTTTTTTCAACCCTTTCTTCCCTCCCCCAACTAACTGATTTCAGAAACTCTGTGGTTAGCATCTATGATAGCTGATGTTTTGTAGGGCTTAACAAATTTATGTTTATTTGACTTCGGAAAGCTTT